GAGATATTCGATTTTTTCTTGAAAGAAGGAACACTTTTGTTTATTTATGTGCAGATCATAGTCAGAAAGTCTTTGTAAGCAAGCTTCTAAATTTTCAGTACATTCTTGAAGTGTTTCACCATGTATAATAATATCGTCAAAGTAAGATTCTGTTTTTGGTAACCCTTTGAGAATTTGAGAAAGAATGCGATTGAATTCTGATGGTGCTGTCTTGATTCCAAAACTAAGCCTATGCATGCGATACGTACCACGATGTGTTGAAATGGTCTGTATCATGCTACTATCTTCATCAACTTTTAAATGTAGGTAGGCTTTAAATAAATCAAGTTTACAAAAATATCTTGAATTTCGAAGACTATGAAGCACATCATCTATCCTTCTTACTGGATGATTTGATTGAATTAATCGTTCATTGACTCCACATTTGGAATCAACACATAATCGAACGCCACTGTTTGGTTTTGGAATGACAACCAATGGTGACCCACAATCACTCGCAGGCACTGAGGATATTATTCCATCTGCCTCAAGAGAGTCCAATTCTTTATTGACGCGGTCCCGGAGAGCATAAGGATCGTCATGCTCCCTAGTAAAAATGGCTTTTGCTCCATCCCTGAAATTTGTAATTTACTACACTGGTGTGCAAAACTTAAGCGGCAAGTGGTTTTTCGGCCACAGCTCCCCAACAGAGTATAAGATAGCCATGAAATTGCAGTATAATATGCACGTAATTTAGTAGAAAGATTATTTGTATGTAAATTTTAGAAATAAAACGTCGTAGGTGATGTAAGTGTACGTAAACCTTGTGGGTCGGCGTGCGCAGGTTAAAGCTGTGATAAAAGGATGAAGAGCACCGTAGTTAAAGACATTCGCTGCAAGTGCAAGTGATTTGTTTTGTGAAACATGTGTTCAAGAAGTCATTTAGATGACTTTACTCGAGGAAGAATGATTGGGAAGCTTGAGGAGGGGCGTACTGTGAACAGTGTCGCCGAAGAGTTAGGGATCAACAAAAGTGTTGTTTCTCATGCTTGGAATGCCTTTAAAACTACTGGTACAGCTGTTCGGAAGGTTAGTGGTGGCCGTCCGAGGAAAACGACACCAAGAGATGATCGTTACATTGTCCTCCAGGCGAAAAGAAACCGTTTTCAGTCAGCGAGCGCCATATCTCAGCAACTGTGCACAGCCACAGGACGACAAGTATCAAGATTTGCAGTGGCCAGACGCCTCCAAAAAGGTGGCTTATTTGCTAGACGTCCTGAACGCTGCATACCTTTAAAAGTTAGTCATCGGCAGCACCGTTTAGAGTAGTGTAGAGAACACGAAACCTGGACACCTCATCAATGGAGTCGCGTCCTCTTCACAGATGAGAGTCACTTTAGTGCTACAAGCGATTCTCAACGTCAGTTGATCTGGAGAGAGGTTGGAGCTCGATTTCATCCCAATAACATCGCGGAAAGAGATCGTTACGGTGGTCCTGGAGTCGTCGTTTGGGGAGGCATTATGTTGAACGGGTGGACTGAGCTTCAGATCTTCGACCAATGTTCTGTAACTGAAGACCGCTACTGCAATGAGGTAATCCTACCCCATTTGCGTCTGTTCCGAGGGGCCATTGGACCAGACTTCATTTTTATGGATGGCAATGCCCGGCCACACCGTACTGCTAATGTTCAAGAGCTACTGGAAAGTGAAGATATCACACGAAGGGATTGGCCAGCTTACTCTCCAGATCTAAATCCCATAGAGCATGTGTGGGATGCATTAGGGAGACGTCTTGCGACGCGACAGTATCCTCCTGGTAACACCCATCAGCTGAAAAATGCGTTAAAGGAGGAATGGAGACGTTTACCCCAAGATCTCTTAGATAATCTGGTGCTCAGCATGGAGAGACGATGCTAATCAACAATTACAGTAAGGGGAGGGCATATCCCATACTAGGGAACATCTGCCAGTTGTGCTTAAGCTTCTTCAGGCAATCATGTGTAACGCCACTATAGGTCAAAAAAATCCTTTTTTTGTTCCATACCCTACTTTAAGCTTTATATTCATTTCTGCGCCATTATTCTTTTACCATCGTTTAAGTACAAAATAATGTACATCATATTCAAATTTCATGTCAATCGGATGATTTCTTGTAGAGTTATGACTAGGACTGGGCTATAAATCGATGCATCGAGACATATCGATTTAACGCATATATCGGCAAGACGATACAGCGACTTTCATTCAAGGCGATGCATCAGAAATCTGATTTAAGCCGTCGAGTAAAGACAACGAGCGCAAAACGATATAGCGATATAAGACACGCAAGGATATAAGATAACGATATAGCGATATAAGACTCTTCTCTTACGTTCCGATGTCGACTCGCGCTGTGGAAGACGATGTTCGTTTCGTTATGTTGAAATGGCCTTGATTGGTGAGCTGTAGAATCAGAATCAGAGTTTTGAGAACACATATCGTTATATCGCATGTTCCTTTTCGCACCTCTTAACTTTTTTTTTCTTTGTCGCGACTTTTCTTGTAGATTATTTTCAGTGGGACTAACTTCGTGATCGCCGATGTTACCTTGTTCTGAAGGCAATCTATTATTGAAAAGAATATATAAAGAAGAGTTTCTTCATTAATTAGATAAGTTTTTTTTTAAAAAAAACTTCTTTTTATTTTTAAATGTGAAAATTATCGGCAATCTAATTTAGGCGCCCATAAAGAATTGAATTTGTTAGGTTATTTTTTTACTTTCTTTTAATTTATTAAAAACTTTTTGGATGAAACTTCTAATAATTTAATGAGTTTTTATTACTGATTTTAAATTTATAAATCTTGTTGTTTTTATTTTTAGAAATAAAGTTAAAACAAAATTTATTTTTGTCATTTGGATTTGGACATAAGTCAATCAACTTTGTTTATACAAAAAAATTTGAAAGGTTTGCGTATTTTATTCATTTTTTTAAATCATTTAGCACTTCGTTTTATTAGAGAGTATAATAATTTTTTTTAAAAAATATTCTTTTCATATTATTTGTTAATTAGCTAAATATATTATCGAATATCACAATTTTTTTATTTTTAAGAAATTAAATCTTACTTTGTTTTTCGTTCATAATTCGGTCATTATTTAATTTAATTTAATTATTTATCTGAAATGATAAGGTCCCGCAGTGGACTGATCGTTAAGACACGGTTCCCTGCAGATCACCGAAGTCAAGCATCACTGGCTGCGGTCAGTGTGCGGGTGAGTGACCACTTGGATCAGTCTGCGTAGGGACCGAGGGTGTGCGGTATTGGTCCTCGTTAAACTGTTCTACCGTAAAGTGCTCGACTTCGCGTGCAGGTCGTCGAGCTACCGAAGCGGGGGTGCCATCCCATCTGCAGAGGATCAAAATTGTGATGGCATGTCTTCGGATCATCCTCAGGGATGTTTCCCAGACCGTCGCCAATAGCCCATTGTGCAGCTCTAGTGTGACGTAAATGAACTATAATAGAACTATAATAACTGAAATGATAATAATAAAAAATAGTGTTTTAAAAAGGTTTTTTTTTTCTAAAATTTATTTAGCACTTTGTTTTAAACATACAAATAATTTTTAACGTTTCATTTAGAAATTGAACATTACGATCGAACTTAATAATTATGTAATTATTTATGCATAATAGTACAAGAAAATATTAATTTGTAAAAAACGCTTTAAAGAAAGTTTTTAACACTTTGTTTTACGCGTATTATGAATTTCTAAACAAACATTTCAATAAATATTTTAAGTAAGATTTGTACATTGTAGTCAATTTATTTAATATCTTTCTTAAGCAAAACATATATATCTTAAAATTTATAAATTGATTTAAATTAATCTGAGTAACAAGTTTTGACAGAAATCTGACTTTCTGTGCCTTACAAGTAAATGAAATTCAAAAATACTATATCGCGATACATCGCTATATAGCGATGCAAAACTGACGATGCATCACGATATATAATTTCTAATATCGCCCAGTCCTAGTTATGACAAAAACCGCACTTGTTGCTTAAGTTTTGCACACCAGTGTATTTTATTAAAAGTAAGTATTTTTAAAAGGTCAAATGTCAAACAACAGAACAAGAAATAACTAAAAAGTTTTTCTTATTCAAGCATTTTTTTAATGCAATTTCTCACAAAAAAACTTAGAATAGTGATTTTTTAGATTTTTAAATGTTAATGGTAAGAAATTTCGTTCCTAAAATATCAAATAATTTTTTAAAAAACAAATTAACCAGTTTATTATTTCGATTTTATAGATATAAGAGTAAAAATAAAATGTCTTTTTTGTCTTGTAATATTTAAATGAAAATTTTCTATTTGCAAGATTCGCAAGGTCAACAGAAAAACAATGAAAAGAAATGAAAATATGTTTCTTAAGCATCTGAAGTTATCAGTAACTTAATAATAATTTCAAAAACGACTATGTTGAAAAAACTTCCGTTCTTTCAAATTTATTACAGAAAACTGTACAGAGGATGAAAAATACGCATACAATAATTCTTATTTATATTATATACGATATAGCTATTAATAGTTATTTGATACGATACGATACAGTTATTATAGTTTATTTATTATGTACCAATCTCATTTATAACACACCAATTTTTTTTAAGGGAAAAAATTGCAAGATTTTTTAAAAAAAAAACTGTGTTTTTTTTTCTTTTCTTTTTAAAATACGCAGCATTTTTTAACTAAATATTTAGAAAATATTTTAAAGTTGGTAAAATAAAATTTATAATAAAAATGAGGTGATAATTATACTAAACGTACATGGCTAAGAATACACAAAAATTCGGAACAAAAAATGTTCCCGTTTTATTCCGAAATAAGCTGTGCAAGAAACTAATTTATTTATTCGATTATATGAAACAATGAATTTCTGAGAAAAAAATCTATCTGTGAAATATATTCACAACTGATCTAGGTTAGTGTTTATAAGAAATCATGAAATATCTGGGTAAAAATTAACTTTGAAATCAGCAATCTAATTTAATCCAAACATTAAACAAATTCTATTTGAACGTTGAATAGCTTTCACCAGCAAATTGTTTGGTGAAAAATATCCGATAGTTGGGAGGGAAAATGAGTTCGAAAGCGCGAGGTTACAGGTTTTCCCTAGTTAAATGTGACTATAGACAATATTTTATAAGTTAAATGTGAAGCTTGCGGAAACTAACTTTTAATGCATATTCCGATTCACCTTAATTAAACAGTGTAAAATTATCTAACATACTCAATAGTATTAATACAGATAATTTATCAATTAATAATTGTTTCTCATGAGGTTAATTTTGTGACAAGTTAATAATACTGGCAAAGGTGCCGTTTTATGCATTAAAAAATTTTTTTTTTTTAAAGCATTGTCTCAACACAATTGGTGTATTTATTAGGATTCAGAAAAATTTTGGAGCTGTTTAAGAATCCTAAATATTTTGATAGTTTGCACATGATCTTTAAATTAATCTTTAAACTTTAGCTAACAGTTTAAAAAAGATATATTTAACTTCATTCGGCTTCTTTAGGGGTCCAGCAGAGCGAGATTTAAAATCAGCCATTGGCTTCGCAGTCAGACCAACTAGGCACGTTAACCGCTCGGCCACCTGGCCGGCTTCTTGAAGACGTTCTGATTGGTAAGCAGAAGCGGTATAATCTTTGTAGATTTACGGACAGAAATGGGTAATTTAAAGCGTAATTGGCTGGCTGTGCTGCTTCATGAAAAATAAATAAATAAACATTAATATTGTTTTTGGGTAAGATAATTGAAATAAATAATAGTTATAACAATAAAATATAATGTCGTTTGCTTAAATTTTGTAATACATTGGCAAAATTCCACTGTGTTTATCTTATTTAAGAATTTAAAAATGTTATAATTTAAATTGTATTAATCAATGTTATAATACATATAATTCTCAAATGATCAGGTTTACAAGCTGTAGGATAGTTACCATATCATTCTGCTCTTTGCATTGCTTTTGTGTTGCGACTTTAAAAATTTTATGAAAGAAAAAATTCATGTTCCTCATTGATTTCCAAGCTGCTATTCAAGTCTTGGTAAATAAGAAGCTTTCTTCTTTTCACGAAATATTATTTGTAAAGAAGCAACTTTATTTGCAATTATTGCTTGAATTAATGTTTGGAAATTAATGAATTGTTTTACAATCTTATTGAAATGGAAAAAAATATTGTTTTCCATTGAATCCCTGGCCATGTCGGGATTCCTGGTAATAAAGAAGCAGCTATTCATTAGCTAAATCAGCTCTGTGTTTGTCACTGTACCATTCTATTTCTCCCCATAAGAAATCATAAAGTACTTATCAAAATAAAATTTAAAACCTCAAGAAAACTTCATCATAGTAATATTGCTGCCTGAAAAAGCTAAAAGCATATTCTTCAAAATAAAGACAGAATTTCCTTAAATTTACCAAGGAAGATATGTTTTGCCTGCTTTCGAATTTCGACAGTTCATCATAACCTCCAGCTGCATCAAAATAGCAGCCTCTGCCTCATGCTCTCTGTGTGGAGGTAGTCTCATAAATGTGCAACATTTCCAAATCAAAAGATATTGACCCTGAGAATACTTCCCTTTATGGATTTTCACATCTTTATAGGAAAGCAAAACAGGCTGGATGTAAGATTTATGTGTATGTATATATATATA